GGGGATGGAGGGCAAGGCTGTTTCCCTCACGACCCTGTAAGTCCGCCCAGAGGCTGCACAGGCCAGGAGGGGTGGCCTGCAGGCTCACGGGGATCCTTCCCCCGGCACTCGGCAAGTTTTCCTGCGGGAACACGTGGGATTGTTCTGCTAGAGACGGTTCATGTCCTGATCAATCCTGAGAGATCTGAGAGGACAAGGGCATCCACCCAACCCCAGACCTCATGGTGGCTTCTCAGTCTGGGACCTGGGGCTGACTAGGAAGGAGTCATTACACCAGTGACCTCCAGGGCTGGTTGCCTTGAACAGAAACCCGTGACCACAAAGCCCAGCCCAAGACCTTTAACCCTCCGGGTGCAGGGAACCAGGGGCGGGGGACAGGACTAGCGGGCAGCAGCCAGCGTTCCCTCAGCCGGTTCCTTCGGCGGGTGGCCATGTCCAGCTGCGAGGAATCAGCAGGGTGATTGCTCTAGGAAGGCTCATTCTGTCTGGCCCCCAAACCAGGGGCTCAATTATTAGGGACAAAGGGGACCAGAGATGTGGGTTAGGCAACCAGCCTTCTGTGGGGTGCTCTGGTCTTCGTGGGGCCCGGGGCAGTCTCAGCAGGGTCCTGTGTGGCCTTCTTGGACCTGGAGGCCCATCCGCAGGTAGCAGAGCAGGACGCATTGGCTTCTGCACAGCCAAGACCCTGCTGTGGGGCAGGGACAGGCGGGGGCAGCGGCCCCTCCCAGAGGGGAAGCCGGGACCCTGAAGCCTGGACCAGCAGGGAGCCCCAGACGTCCTGGGCCTTGGCTGGTGCCTGCTGAGACCCCCTGGGGACAACACCAGGGCCATTGTCTGTTGGTGACGCAGACCCACCCAGGAGCTGCAAGCTCTTTTGGGCGGGAAGGCCGGGGGTGGGCGCCTACCGCTAAACCATCCCATGTCTTTAAAGACCGAGGTGGAGTCCACGCGGCAGGCACTTGGCCACGTGGAAATGAGCAATTCCACGGCATTTATGTGACCACAGCGTAAAACCACGACCTCTGTGTGGCTCTAAGACCTTCCATTGCCCCAAAGGAAACACGCGTCCATCAGGAGGGGCTCCCTCTGGCCTCCCCAGCACGGGCAACCCGGCCGCTGTCCCTCCACCCTGACCGGCCCCTTTGGAGGAGCACGTGGAGGAGGAGGAGCACGTGGAGGAGGAGGGTGGTCAAGCCCAGCAGTCCTCCAGGTCCCCTGCTCTCCCCAGGCCCAGCTCCGGGGCCCAGCTCCGCCCAGCGGGGATGAAGGCTGCGCCTCTCCTGGGTCTGGATCAAATCCCGCCTTTCTGAGCTCATGGCCTCTGACACCCGGTTCAACCCACAGCTTCCCATCAGCCCCACGCGCTGCCCTGCTCAGGCCTGCTCGGCCCCGCCCTCCACTGTGGCCCTTGACTTGCTCCCGTGGGACTGGACGGTGGCCACCTCGATCCCTGCTGGAACACAGCACGGGCCTGGCCTCGCCGTGGGTCTCTGTCTGAGCCACTCGGACGCCCCTTGCTGTTTGGGATTCACACCTGGCCACTTTTCTGACTTCATGAGGCCCTAAATTTCAGAACCGATTACAAGTCCGTCAACTTCCGAGTAGCACTGGTCACAGAACAGTGCCACCAAAAAAAACCACACCCACCCAACATGCCACACCACACGGGCCAGGAGCTGGCAGGGACGTGCCTCTCAGGGTCACTGCGCAGCGAAAAACCATCCAACTTGAGTGGCCAGCGCTGGTCGTGAGGTCTTGCTGTGTGTCCGCAATGGCGGTTGGTACTCTGGGAATACCTCTAGCCTCTCTCCTTCTCTCGGGGGCGGTGCAGATGGAGGGGGTTCAGAAGACACCTGCTTGGATGACGTTTGCCACACACCGAAGCTCCGGCTGCTGGTTGTTGGTTCTTCCATCCAGGGACAAACGTGAAAGGTCACATGTGGGAGGGTATGTGGGTGGGAGGGGATTTTCCCCCCAGGTCCTTTCAGTCTGGTGGGAGGGGTGGTGGATTGCAGAGGGATGGCAAGGAGCTCACAGAGCACAGGGGGAGGGGGGCTGAGGAAGGCCCCCAAGAGGTGACAGGGGACCAGGTGTGGGCACGAGGACATGACCAGTGTTTTCCGTCTGAGACCATACAAGGGTCAGCCTGGATGGAGGGGTTGTGGGGGCTCTGTGAGGAGGCAGGATCCACCAGAGGGGTCCCCGATGTCACCCGCGGACTGGTAATGACAGAAGCTGGCCATCCATCACTACAGACTGCGGTCTTTATGGCAGTCACCCCCCACCCACGCCCCACAGCCTCAGCCGAGGGCGCCTGGTTCCCCTGGTGACGACGCCCCCCTCCTGGAGCTGTCCCTCTGCTGGCTCCGTCTGCCCTGCGTGCTGATTGTGTCCTCCCTGTGGAGGGCGGTGTCCCTCCACCTGTGCCCACAAGGAACGGGGGTCTTCCCTTTCCCAGTGTCCAATCCCATGGAAGATCACAGGTGGCCAGGCCTGGCCGTCGGGCCCTGAGGAGCTGCCTGTTCTGCCTGGTATCCCGCCTCCCCTTTCTTAACTGAGAACCCTGGCGTATGGCAGGTGGCCATGTGCACTGTTCCTGGACAGGAGACAAGATGACCACAGTGTCGGGCGTGGCCTGCGGGCCCAGCCCCCTTCCCAGCTTATCCACCCCCCACCCGTGCTGTGCTGGGGACCCCCATGACCAGGGGCCTCCTCTACCTCTGCCTGGGAAGCGGAGGCTCAGGCCCTTCCTCAAGACCCCAGGACGAACCCTTAAATCCTGCCCGGACCCAAGTCGCCCTGCGGATGTGACAGCTGGAGTGGGTCATCAGATCCGAGGCTGTGTGTCCTCACCCAAGTGTGTGTGGGGGGCACTCAGAGCTGGTGGCCGAGCTGGGGAGGGGGGTGGGGCGGGGGTGGGCACATCCTTTGAGGAACGCAGAGGAGGCGGCCTCACTGGGGAGGCTGGGTGGGCAGAGGGGGACCGTGCAGGGCCGAGCGCCAGCCTGGAGACTTCCTCTCGGGCCCTTGGCCAGAGGCCTCTTACACACTGAACCCGCGGTTCCCATGAAGGGTCGCTAGAGATTAACGTAGTCTGTCAGGCTCCCGCCTGAGGGGATTCCACAGCCCCCTGTGGCCATGGCAGGAGTGAATTCCTTTCAGGGCCGTTAAAGTCTTGAATCTTGGGCACTTAACCACTGAGCCACATCCCATCCCTTTTTATATTTTTATTTACAGGCAGGGTCTCCCTGAGTTGCTTAGAACCTCACTAAGTTGCTGAGGCTGGCCTTGAACTCAAGATCCTCCTGCCTCAGCCTCTCTAACTGCTGGGATGACAGGTGTGTGCCACTGCGCCCAGCCAAGTGTGTTCTTCTCATGCTCTGTGACAGAGTGACTTGGACAGCCTTCATCTGTAGGCTCTCAGTTCCATCAGTCAGAGAGCAGGCTGTCGGCTCAGGGTCTCGCAGACCAAAGTGGAGGTATGGAGGCCGGGGCTCGCTCCTGGAGGCTTTGGAGGAAAACCCACCTGCACGCTCCCTCGTCAAAGCCAAGTGCTGTCCTCAAGCCGTCCGGCCTCACCCCTTCCTCCTCACCACCAAATTCCCTCTGGGAGAAAGCCTGGGTATGGGGCTGAGGCCCTGCCCTGGAACCTTCCAGAAACCCCATGGTAACACATTGCCGTGGAGGGAGCCACTCCAGAGCAGCAAAGGGGGCATGGCCGTGTTTCTAAATGACTTTGGTTTCTTGCATTCCTTCCTGCTGTTGCTTTTCATATTTATTTGTTTGTTTATTTCTGTTCTCACAGGGACTCTTGAGTTGGCCAAGGAGCGACTTCATGCACAAGGTCAAGGCTGGCCTTCCCCACACAGGACAGACAGGACGGCATGAAAATTTCTGGGGGTCACTGCACTTCCGCCGCCTGAGATCTGTCCTCGTGGAGGACAGAGGTGAGACGCTGCCTCTCGCCCCAAACAATACACACGGCAGCCGGGCACCGTGGCGCACACCTGTCATCCCAGTGGCTCTGGAGCCTGAGGCAGGAGGATCTCAAGTTCAGAGCTAGCCTCAGCAACTTTGTGAGGCCCTAAGAAACTTAGGGAGACCCTGTCTCAAAACAAAAAAATAAAAAGCCTGGGGATGCAGGTCAGCTGTTAAGCCCCCTGGGTTCAGTCCCAGAACCACGACAAACAATTAAAAAAAAAAAAATCCAAAACACACTGCAGACAAAGATGTTCCGAAACTCCAGCAAAGCAGCAGGCTTTGCGCCTTCCTGGGAAAAAAAATAACCCCAAAACGAAACTGCAAGGACTCAGGTTTGGCCAAGTGGCCGACTTTTATAGGGAAAGCAAACACTTGGTATTGCCCAACGGGAAGATGCCCTGATTTCGCTGGTGAAAGATCTGAGATAGAGAATAGGGAAGCAGGACTCCCCCTGAGATCCGTCCCGCTCTCGGTGGGGCGGGGGCGGGGGCCCTCCAGGCCCAGTCGGCCACACAGATGTGGCTCTGCCCTGGGAGGCTCCACAGACCTGCTGGGTGACACATGGAGTCTGCTCTCCCCACTGCTTTTCATAATTCAAAAAATGCCCAGTGGGGAGACTGCCCCGCCCTCCGCATCATTCAAAAGAAAACTGGAGGCAGGCGGCCACCTCCGCGCCTGCACAGAAACACGTGTCAACCGTTTCAGAAGCGCGAGTGCCAAGCCAGAGCGTCTCACCCCGGGGACTGGGCTGAGCTAGTCCAGCTCAGTCTTGGAAATCTGTCGGATGCAGACAAGAGACAGGTCTCCAGAGTCGAGGACCGCACAGCAGCCCTGGTCAGCAGCTCTGCAGAGGTGCTGGTGTCGGACGCTGGGACTTGTGATATCAGGGGACGGGGAGGAAGAAAGCAGCCCGGAAATGGGTGTTAGCAGGGCACAGCAAACCCAAGCGCCTTAAAGAGTAACGAGCCCATTTCTCATTCTTTTCCCTTCCCCGGGACTTTCGCAGCGCCCTGCACAATTTCAGCCTGTACTTGACATTCAAATGCATGTACGATCATGCATCTCATTTCTCGGTGGTTCCCAAGTCGCCTAAATAAAGCATTTCCCAGGGTAGGCGATCCCGGGGGTTAGGACCGTGGGAGCAGCCCTGGGACCTCTCTGCCTGGGTCAGGAAGGCTGCTCTTTCCGGAAGGGCGGCAGAGACCCTGGGAACTGGACCAGCCCAGCTCGCAAGTATGAAGAGAATGCAGGGGGAGGAAGTGGCGGCTCAGAGTCAGCATGAGTCATCGTCCCAATGAGAATGAGGGCCGAGGTGTGCGCCTTTTTTTTTTTTTGGTCTTGATTGCGTGGACATCACTGGGAATGGAGGGAGCCGGTGGTGACTGTACCGCTCGGTCAGTTTTAAAGCAGCGCTCCGTGCGGGCAGGCTGGGCCTGAGCATGACTTTGGTCCCCGGGAAGGAACAGCCCTCCGCTTCTCCCTGGTGAGTATGTGCCTGTCATTTATCCTCATTGCTCATGGTGCGTCCTGGAGTGGACGTGGGTTTTGGGAGACGTTGAGGGTCTGTGCGTCTGGAGAAGCGGCTCTCTGCCCCCCAGCCTGGGGCTGCTGGGTTTGGGCTGGGCTCTTGGAGGAGGTGTTTGGTGGCTCACTGTGACAGCATCTTGCTGTCTTGGAGGGAGACTGGAGAGGAGGTGCTTGGCTGGAGAGGAGCGGTCAGGCTGCTCCCAGGGCACAGAGGTTCGGAGGTGGAGGTGTCTGGATTTTGTGCAAGCCCCAGAGCTGGGCCGTTGGCTTCCGCTTCTCAGGCTTGGAGGAAAGAACCCTGGAGCAAACTGTGGCCTCTGGTCCCTGCAGCCCAGGCAGAGCTGCCCGGCTTCGGTAAAGTGTCCACAGGAAGAGGGTGGAGGTTGTTCTTCCTTCCCTGGACCTGATGAATGAGTCCAGGGGCTTATTTTATGTCCTTTCCTTCCCTTGGATGCTGAGAGTCACAAAGTGGTAAAATCAGGAAGGAAAGAAGCTGAGGGGCCAGGGCGGGGGTGGACGAGGGTCCTGGAGGGCTGGGGGCTGAGTGGCCTGACAGCGAGCAGCCCCTATTCGGCTGGCTTTGCTGCCAAGTGACACCAGGAAGCCTTCTTTTAATGTCACCCCGTTACTGTAACTGGGACGGTTGAAATGTCATAAATACCTTGTGATAAACACTTTTCGAATTTGCCTAAGAGGCAGCCCCGGGGCCAGCAGGCATGACGGGGAGCTTTTTCAGAGCCACCTCGGGCTCTGAGTGGCAGCTTCCTGGGTTGACAATGACTCAGCAGTGACTTTCTGAACCTGGGGGTGCTTCTAGGGCTCAGCTGCTGGGCCCTGGTTGACACTGCTGCCACGGCTGCTGGGGGCCTGGGGCTCTCGGGGGCCCTGGGCTCCGCTGCAAGGCGCCAGCTTGGGGTCTGGTGGTGGAGGTGGGGACGTCGCCTCCTGTGGCCAGAGCTGGTGACTTCTAGGCCCCCCTTGAGGATGTGGCTGAGCAACAGTGATGAATGAGCCCTCAGGCTGCGCCCGCGTCCTGGCCACTGGCTGTCTGTGGGTCACACAAACTGAGGGGTGGGGCAGGAGGGTCGGTGAGGCCCGGAACCTCGAAGCTGGATGGGTGACACGTAGGAGGGAGGTGAGGTGGGCCTCAAGTCAGAGGGCCACGGTCCAGGAGGGAGGCTTCCCTGGTGTGGGCTGGGCTTTGCACGGGCAGCCTTGGGGCACAGCAGCCCTGGGACATGACAGTCCTGGGACACAGCAGCCCTGGGGCACACAGCCCTGGGGAGCAGCCCTGGGTTCTGTTTGGTGGCCCAGGTGGTTTTCTGAGGGCAGATAAGGCTGGGTGGGGTCCCAGCTCCGGGTCACAGGCCCTGCCACACCCTGAGGCTGCCGCTTGGCAAGAGCCCTGGAGGGCAGCTCTGAGGCTGATGGCCCAACCCTGCTGCCCTGGCTGAGCTGGCCTCGGGCCCTGGGCTGGCCTGAGCTCCCAGCCGTGGAGAAGAATGGCCCTGCGGTGCCCAGGCCGGCAGGGCCTGTCCAAGGCTGAGGACTGGGCCAGCAGGGAGGCCCTGTCTGTCTGTCGGTCTGTCCTGGTGATTGGTCCACCCTGGACCTGAGGCACTTCCAGGGAAGGTGTGGGAAGGTGCCGTAGGCGCAGGCAGGGACCCAGGAGGCAGCTGCCCCAGGCCATCGTGGGTCCCACACTCTGACCCCGTGCATCTCTGAGTCCCCCGTGAGCAGGGCTGGGCCAGGGCTCCAGGTGGTTGGCAGTGATGGGGACTATGCAGGTGGGCCACCTCTGACCCAGCAGGATCCAGCCTGGGGTGACCGACATTCCCACTCCTGTGAGTAGGCAGCGTCCCTTGCTATGCCGCAGACACAGGGCACACGGGTTGCTCACGAGGGGGCAGGGGGCGGGGGGGGGGGGGATCCAGCTACCAAAAGTTCACTCCAAGTGTGGTTGCAGGCAGGACAAAGAGGGGAACTTCCATGGTAGAGATGGAGCCTGTGTTTTAGAAGGACATGATCTCAAAAAGGAAATGCCCACAGATCAGTGCCATCGGGAAGTGCCTGGGGGTGGGCACAGAGCCCTCTACCTGACCCCCGCCGCCCCTTCTCCACCCTCCCCATACAGGGGCCTCTTTGTGCCCCCAGCCCAGGGGCTTCTGCTGTCCCACCCTGTGTCCCGCCCGGTGCACCCTGTGTCAGGCTGGTTCCTCAGGTGCTTGGAGTCCCCGTCCTCACAGTGGCATGAGCGTGAAGATGGCCCCAGGCTCGTGCGCTCCTGTGAAGGGGCCAGAGGGCTCCATGACCCTCAGAGCCACGTCCATTCACTTAGAGAAGCATCCAGACACCGGGGCTACCTGGGCACGCCTGCCTGTGGGCGTCCACCCAGGAAGGATTCTGGGCTGAGTCCCTCTGGTGGCCTCCTTGCCCGGCGTGACCTCTGCTCTCAGGGCAACTATAGATACGTTTTTTTGAGGTGGGGGAGCAGGGATTGGACAGGGCATTTAACACTGACCCCGCCCCCAGCCTGTCTGTCTGTCTATATTATTTAGAGACAGGGTTTCTCTGAGCTGCTTAGGGCCTCGCTAGTTGCTGAGGCTGGCCCTGAACTTGGTCCTCCTGCCTCAGCCTCCCGAGCCGCTGTTACAGGCGTGCGCCACAAGGCCTGGCTGGGAATGGATATTTTTAGGTAAGTGGGAAATGCTCCTGGTCCTCGCCAGGGCAGCCTGGGTCCCCGATGTCATCACAACCTTGGGATTGTCATTGTCACTGTGGTCAACATCAGAGTTCAAAGAACAACTCCCCGTTCGTCCAGGTCAACCACATGCTGGTGCCTGCGGAAGGGAATACAGGAGGAACAGGAGACGGAGGAGGGATACATTCTGGGCAGCGAGGCTCTATTCAGCTCCGTAGGGCACATCGCGGGGCACATCAGGGGGCACATCGCGGGGCACATCGCGGGGGCCTTGGTGAGAGTCTGGGTTTCATGGGGTTTAGCGGAGCCAGGTCATGGGGGAATTACTTTGGGGGGCAGGGCCAGGTAATGGGGGAGTCCAGAGTGGGGCAGGGGACCGGTGGGCAGCCATACCCTGCACTGGGGACGTGGGTGTTCCCCCAGCCTCCCACCTTGGAGGCCAGCAAGGAGGCCAGCTGAACTGGCCTGGGCCAGGGCCACAGCTCCTTGGAGATGCTCTGGGGCGGGGTCCCCTGGCACCCTCTCCGTGTGGGGCTCCAGGGTGACCAGTGCAGACTGGACGGCTGGCCTGGGGCCTGCCCGAGGGCAGGGCAGAGCGGGACTGTGCTCCGTGTCCCCAGCAGCACCAGCTTGGCTTGGCCTCCAGTCTGTTTACTGGTCACGGGGAGACGGACTGAAAGGTATGAAGAAGACAAACCAAGCCAGGGGCACGGCTGTGCCTTCCTCGTCCACCCCACTCTCGGGACCACACAGGGGCCAGAAGCCAGATCCTCACGCCCCACCTGCCAGGGTCCGCGAAAGGTAGCACAGGCCCTTCCAGAAGCTTCTGTGCTGTGTCCCCTCTGAGAGCTGGGCTTCCAGGCGGCCTGAGGGTGGGGTGCAGGGGGTGCTGATGGTGGGTGTGGTGGGGGTCCCTGCAAGAGGCGCTGGAGCCAGCAGGGACTCCCCTGCCCGTGGGCGGGGCAGGCAGCCTGTCTAGGGTGGGTCAGGGGCAGGGACAGGTCCCTGCAGGCGCCGACCACAGATCAGAAGGAAGTTGGGCCCCAGGAAGCAGGAGTGGGTGGGGTGCTGGCTGCCGAGGATTCCTTCTGACTCAGAAAACATAGCTGTTACTGTCGTGCGCGTGATGGCCCAGCCGGGGACGGGATGGCCCAGCGGGGATGCTGGTCTTCTCCACACGGTTCTCTGCTGCTCTTTGGCTTTGAGATGGATGAATCTGCAAAGCCAGGCTTTGGCCCCTCTCCACCCTGTGCTTTTAAAAACTTCATAGGAATTTTTAAACTATGGCAGAAAACATATTATTTCGGCTCTTCTCCTTGCACAGACGGTTCACAGAGCATGAGAAGGATGCACAGGTTTCTATCCATTCAGCTGGACACAAGAAAACTTTATGAAACAGCAGTGGCCCCCAGAGGACTCTGACTTATTATCTCCCACACAGAAAAAGGATTCTGTCCCCGTCATGTGCTGTTCTCTGACAGGAAGGGAGACGCTTAGGGCAAGGTCAATGGACAGACTGTCCATCCATCCCCTGCTCTCTCAGCCTTCCTCCAGCTTGTCTTAGAATTCCAAGAAGGTTGCTGGAGCTCTGGCCAACACCTATGCATTTAGGAGGCAGGAAGAAAGTGGTGGACAAAAGGTTGAGACTCCTGTGTCAGCCTCCTTAAAGGGCTTTCTAGGACCCCCGTGGGCCTGCGCCTCTCACTTGCCAGCCTACCTGTAAGGGGCTGCAGGAGTGAAGCAGACCCTTTCTAAACACTCCAAACAGGAGCCATTGGCTCTGTGGGAAGCAGCCTGGGCTTGGAGCCGGGTCTGAGGTCCTCTCTGCTGCCCTTGGGGGCGGGGACGCAGAGCATGGTCCCAACAGAGAGAGCCGGCAGGAGGCACGGGGTACACAGATTCCTGGCTCTGATGCTTCCTGCCCCGGCAGGGCCCAGCTGGGGGAGGTGACCCTCTTTGTCAGTCACCTGGGCAGCCACAGCAACCTCCCTGGTGGCTTCTCTCCAGGGAGGTCCAGGGTCCCAGCCAGGCTGTCCACCGAGCCCGGCCTCTGTGAGTGATGGTGCTGCCCGGCCTCGTGCCTCCCTCCTGCGTGGACCAGGGACAGAGAGGGGCCCCTGTTCAGAGGACCCAGACACAGGGTGTGAGGACTGTCCCTGTGTCTTCAGGGACAGCATGAGGCTGCTGAGAGCGTGGTGGCGAGAGCCGTGGTGGCCTTGCAGGCTTCAGCAAGCAGAGTCTGCGGTCTGACCGCC